CAACCAAAGAGCGATGGCCTCCAACCTAAGAGCGATGGCCTCCAACCAAAGAGCGATGGCCAACTTAAGAGCGATGGCCTCCAACCAAAGAGCGATGGCCTCCAACCCAAGAGCGATGGCCTCCAACCTAAGAGCGATGGCCTGCAACCAAAGAGCGATGGCCTTTAACCAAAGAGCCATGGCCTCCAATCTAAGAGCGATGGCCTCCAACCTAAGAGCGATGGCCTGCAGCCAAAGAGCGATGGCCTCCAACCTAAGAGCGATGGCCTCCAACCTAAGAGCGATGGCCTCCAACTTAAGAGCGATAGCCTCCAACCTAAGAGCGATGGCCTCCAACCTAAGAGCGATAGCCACCAACCAAAGAGCGATGGCCTGCAACCTAAGAGCGATGGCCTCCAAAAGAGCGATGGCCTCCAACATAAGAGAGGTGGCCTCCAACCAAAGAGCGATGGCCTCCAACCTAAGAGCGATGGCCTCCGACCAAAGAGCGATGGCCTCCAACCAAAGAGCGATGGCCTCCACCCTAAGAGCAATGGCCTCCACCCTAATAGCAATGGCCTCCAACCTAGCGCTGGCCTCAAACCTACTAGGGATGGCCTCCAACCTAATAGCGATGGCCTGCACCTAATAGCGATGGCCTCCACCTAATGGCCTCCAACCGACTAGCGATGGCCACCAACCTAGTAGCGATGGCCTCAAACCTACTAGGGATGGCCTCCAACCTAATAGCGATGGCCTCCACCTAATAACCCTAATAGCAATGGCCTTCACCTAATGGCGATGGCCTCCACCTAATAGCAATGTGGCCTCAAACCCAATAGCGATGGCCTCCAACCTGATATCGATGGCCTCCAACCTAAGAGCGATGGCCTCCAACCTAGAATCCGAGTAGCCCTCGTTATCAAGGATGGCTTTTCAGGTTTGCTTCGGGCGTGAACTGCTGCAGGGGCAGGAGTTTTTGAATGGAAACGGGTCCGCGCACTGCTAGGGTAGCTGAGCGCACTGCTGTCCGCTTCCACTTGGAGTTCTGCTCCACAACGCAAAGGACGGAGATGGAGTTCCTCGTCCCCTTGGCTAATGCTTTGGAGTCCCTAATGCTCTCCCCACTTGGAGTCCCAGTCTTGGGAAGGATGAGATGAGATATGATGAGTGAGGACGAGGGAGTGAGGATGAGGCAGGGAAGAACAATTGGGGTTGTTCTTTGCGTGGACAGCAGGACGAGGGATCTACGAAACAAAAAAGCTTGACCGCAGAACAGGTGGTTGGCGAGGTCAGATGCAGCAAAGCATGACATCAAGGAATGTGGCACTTCAGTCATTTAGGCCATCGCCTTGGCCCATCTCTTTCCCTTCTGCGATATGCCTGTCTGTCAGGAAGGGGTTCTTCTGTTGAAATCAAAGAGGAGATGAAAAAACCCCAAAACCCAGGCGCTCTTCGGACAGTCGGAAACACCCGACATCCGAACAGACGGTGGTCGTGCGACCCAACTGAACAGTCCTCGGCCGACAAAGCACCTGTGAAGTTGGAGATGGTGCTGCGTACCTCTCGCCACTGGGCGACCACTGGGGAACAGTGGCCAAACAAAGCAATGAATGCCCTGTTTTGAGGTCAGTGAAGGACCAAACACCACGAACCACGATTTAACCACCACTTTCACACCACTTTCACCACCACGGAGATAAAAATCCTTCTTCAATCTAGTTCAACTATGCTATGACTTGCCGGGTCTTGACCTGCCGAACTCACTTGCCATGTGAAACGTCCTGAAACAGGTCACCAAACAGTCAGTGGGTTGGTCGCACCTTGGAGCGTCCGCACCACGGAGCGCGAGTCCGACCGGTCTCGGGTCCGACGCGTCCGAACCGTTTGTGATGAAACCGATCATGACATGGATTCAGGTTTAAACCAACAAACGTCATGATGTGGGTGTGGTCAAACGTCAAGGGCTGGCCTGACAAATATATTGGTTATGAAGATATCAAGATGCCGCTGTTTTTCTGGGTTCTTTCCATCGCCGGCGATCATGATCACGATGTGATGCCACCGCTGCCTGGTCGATCACTTCTGCTTCCAGTCGACTTTGTAGCTCGCCCGCCGCGGCTTTCAAGTTGCGGTAGCAGCGGTGCACACGATCCACCTCGTGAGCATCGATCGGTACATCGAAGCACCGAACGTTCGATCGATGAGTCACACTGCTCCCGGCGTTCGATCCGGTGCCAAGGAGAAAAGCGACTGCCAACAGGACCTTGATTTCCTTTGAACCCCCCAAACAAGAGAAAACTGACACAACTCTTATACATGCACAATCTCCCAAGCTCCATTCTACTCATACACTGAAATAAGACACTCAACCCTGAGGCGCAGTTCAAGAGGCTCCTCCACCGTCGGAAGGGGCAACTGAAAACGACTTGTAAATCAAACATGTGATTGATTGATTCGATGCTTTCCTATCTGAGATGACATGTTTCAACAAGCTCTCCCACATCCAGTGGATTGATGGTCCATGTTGAATCACCTTCAGCTTCTTTTCGAGACACTTGTTGCTTCATCATTGTTTGGCTATTTCTTCCTTTGGACTAAGTCGGGTCGTCTTTCTTTTGTGGGAAATCCATTCTGTCTCTGTTGTCTTTCTATCTTTGGACCTGGACCTTCCTGGACCTGGACCTTCAGGCCTCGAAGACCAACCTCACGGCACGCGCGGCCACATCGGCCCGAAATTGCACCTGCGCGAATGCAAAGCTCCGTAGTGTCCAACTCTGTGAATGCATGGAATAGTTGGAAAGGAACTATATAGTAGCTCCTAGCTACTACAATAGTAGTAATGCCCTATAGTTACTAGTAGCTTCTTGTTCCTAGTAGCGAAGGCCAGGAGCGCCCCGTTCGTACGTTCGTCGCGTCCATAGAGACTTGTGGAGCTCGACGCAGCCCATGGACCGAGGACTTGCCCGTGGACTATGTGTCCGCCGCATGTGTCACGTGTCCAGCAGGCCATGTGTGTGTTCTCCACTCGATGAGCTTCTCGGGACCACTTTGGGCAGTGAGGCATGGCTGGCCATGCTCTGTTGGAGGCCATCGCGTGGAGGACCGGAGGCCCTGGTTCCTTCTGCTGGAAGGCTGAATCCCGAGTCTGGCCATGCAGGCACTAGCCGGACCGGATGCAGCTTGAGAGGTGCCAGTTATTGTAATCGAAAGATGTGAGAACATGTGTGCTCAAATCATCATCTGACCTCTGTTTTGATAGGAAGTTTGACCATATTTTGGATAGTTGATCCTCCAAGGCTCTAGGGGTCACAAAAAGGCATCCAGGTAGCTCAGGCTTCATCGTCGAAACGCATTCGAACGCATTCCAAATCCCAAACACGACACATGGTGACTGTCATAGGACTGCCCAGAAACGGCCAGGGGTGGTTGACTGGGGGGTCAATGAGGCATCATCTATGGCAGTCCCAGACTCGTCGTGTCTGAGAATCGTAGGATGTCCTGTGCCTCCATCGACTCCCTTTTCTCTTTCATCGACTGCGTGGTGGCCTCGATCGTGGCAAAACAACGGTCACCCCTCGATGTCTGGTGTCGGCTCTCGTTCCGATGAAGGTGCTCTTAATGAGTGCAGTACCCCGGTGGCTTGTGGTTGTTTGCTGTCCGAAAGAGGCTTTAGAGTTCAAATATCAAATGAACGGCACACAAAAGGAAACACCTGGCGAGTCCGCGAATGCCACTCTGACTGGACCAACCAACTCGCGACTGGTCCGACCCGATTCTCCCCCGTGTGACGGATCGGACGACGGATCTGCATGTACCAGCAGAATTTCCGTTCAGCAGGTCTCTGGTTCTTGTTTTTCCTTTCAAAGGGGACCATTCTGGTGGAATCCAGCCGCCGGAGCTTTCGGGGAACCTGGGAGCTCCAACCTGCAACCACTCCAGCTCTGGAGGGCTTTCGAGAACATGACCTTCTCGAATGGTCTCCACCTGCCGCCACACGAGATCGCGAGCCGCTCAAACGAGTCGTCTCTGATTGAAAAAGCACCATGGTTTCTGCTGCACAAAACCCACATGGTATTCTGGGTCGCACCAGACTTGAGTTCGGCACGCCAGCCATACAAGGAGCCAAAGTAGTGATAAAGCAACAATAAAGCAAAAACACAATTGAAAGTAATAAGCAAACAAGAAAGCAACAACATGTAGCAGTGTGTGTTGGTCAACAAAAAAGCAAAAAAGTAGGTGCGTGTTTGTCGCTTTTTGTCACTGTTTTTTCACTTTATGTTCACACGTTTTTCGCTTTTTGTTCGCACTTGTTTCGCTTTTTTTTTCTAGAAGCGTACAGCGAATATTGCTGATGAGTGCAGAAGTGGTACCAAAAAAAAACAGCAAAAAAAGCAAAACACATGCAACAACAAAACATTGCATCAAATTGCGCTGCTTTTGCATTTTCATTTACCATTGCTTTGCTGTTGTTTCGCATTTTTTGATGGTTGGTCATGTATGGCTGCCATCGCTGAACACAACACCAGACTACCCTGATAATCACCACTTCCTTCTTCTTACGGGACCTCGCTGGTCTAGTCTTGTGCTCCTTCCGGTGCCTCAACTCCCGTGTCCACACGACAGCAATCCTGAAAGGAGCTCCATAGTACCCTACAAGTCCAAAAGACCCAGTAAAACCTGGACATTCCTTAAGTATTGGTTTTGTATGACCATCTCCAGTAAAATGAGATCTTTGACTTGGGGTAGGTAAATATACCAGTCCCTTGGATTGAGTGTCTGGAATCTCTATAGCTCTTCCGGTGCACCTCTGCTGCAGCGCTCCGGAATTGCAAGACCTCGGAGGCGGCACTCGACTCCCCTCGGCTCACGGTGATATGCTCAGACTCCCCTCGACTCTGCCCATGCAGGGCAGTAGAAGCGTCCCAACATGTTGCGATAGCCTCCACCCGTTTGCAGCGATGGCCTTTGCTCCGACGTTCGTAGCGAACCTTGCCCTTTGCGACGACGTTCGTAGCGAACGTCGCGATCGCTCCCGGGGCCCATTCTGAGCATCCCAACATGTTGCATATGATCCAAGAGGCCTCCGATGCGGAACGAAGCCAGGCAGGCCTTTTCTACGCTTCGTGGAGCGGGAACCGATGGGTGAAAAAAAATGCGAGAGCCTGGCAAGGGCCTTTTTGGGCTACCTTCGGTAGAGGCCTTTAAGGATGCCATCTATTTTTGGCTCTGTGTTTCCTCCAGTTGGACCATGAAATTGGACTCGGAGATTGGTCTTCCAAGCATCACTCATCATCAATCCACTGAATCTTCTCCTTTCCATGAAGTCTTCCAACAGCTGCCACCCGCCCCCCATAACCACTCGCCTAGCATCTCTTGAGTGCGGCGTTCGCGTGTCTTGGACAGGCGCCCTCGAGACCTGAGGACGTCAATGGGACGTCAATGGGATGTCCCGGTCGGCCCACGTCCGAGTCGACACACCAACGGGGGGTGTTCCGGGCGGTTTTTTGGGGTTTTCCGGCACCCAGCTCCCTGAACAGACCCGATGATCTGCACTTGCCACAGATCGGAAGACATATATGGGGTGATTCAATGGTTCCTGGGACTTGGGCGCTGGTTCCTCGACTTGTCCATGTTTGAGACGCACGAATCCACTGGCGCTGGGAGTCCTTCCGTCCTTCGTTTTCGCTGGTGTTTGAAGCTTCCGCGCACCGGTTCAGCGCACCGTTCACAGCATTTCTGGACACCGGACCCCAGGCCAAAGACCAAGTCCTCCAAGCAAGCCTCAGCAAACAGAACCCAAGACCGACTACCCAGGACCATCCAGGGCTGGACTACCCAGCCTCTTCGGGGCACCCAGCCAAACCACCGAGCCAGGATGGGATCGGTCACTTGGAGTCCAGCGACAGTTCAGAGGCCAAATGACCGGAACTCTGAGTCCGAACGTCGACAGCTACGCTACGTAGCCGAAAAACCGTCGACCTGAGCAATCGATCAATGAGTTCATGGATGAAGCTACGTTAGCCAAAGAGTGATAGGGGAGGTCTTTAGATGTGCTTGGTGCAGAGCCCTTCGACAAAGGTCTAAGCCATGAGACGCGAGTCAGCCACTCAATACCTGAGACTCTGACGTTGATCTGCAGCTCCTTCAGCACATGAGCCGGCTCTCCCTCGAGGCTGTTGTTCATGCGCACGTAGGTGCTTTTCGTCAGAAGCTCTGCCACCCTCAGATCCAACGGTGCCAGCTGCCACGTTTTGTCAGTTCGCCAGGCACCCGGTCACCAAACCATGGAAAAACCGGTTTTCACATACCAAAAGCGGTAGTTTTGTTGCGTCACCGGGAAAACCGCCCGGTTTTGGGATGGGCAATGGCTCGGGGCCCCTGGAGGGTGGTGGCACCACGTTGGAACGCCCGGCCACGTGTCGACCGCCTGGGGCTTCGGCGGTTGCAGCCCATCCAATTTGGCCGCAAAGGGTCCGCCTGTCAGCAGGGCCACCTCGGCCGTGCCGAAGGCGGTGGGAGCGGACGGGACGGGATGTGCGGGCGGGCTGTTGGTTTCCATGACTACACCGCCACTGGTGGGTCTTCCGCTATGGTTGAGGAAGTGGAGCTGTGTGGAGCTAGCTTCGAAACGCCACCAGGCCAGCCAACCCCTCCGGAACCGGTCGAGACGCGGAAACTCCAAACCAACCGGCACGTGCTTCTTCATCATTTCATCTTCTTCGCTCTGAGATGCTCTGAGCGCTCTGAGGACCTAGAGAATCCATAGGTTGCTAGGGAAGAGTACTGGGGCCTTGGAGCCTGAGCCTTCCGCGGTTCAGCGGAGGCAAGCATTCACGCGCGTTTTCCGCGTTTTCCACCGTGTGGTCCACGGTGCTCTTTGTGCCAAGAGCGTCACTTCTTCGTTCTTGCGGGAGGTGCTCGACACGATCTCCGGCACCTGGGCGCCCAGTGTCGCGCGGCACGACGAGCGGAAGTGTCGCGCGAACGTCACACGTTACACGTGTCACGCTGAACGTGTTATGTAACGACCAGCAGAACCGGAGCGGCACCACCAGCAACGGCACGACGAACACAGAAGCAAAGAAGTGGTTTTTACAGGCCCCCAAAGAAGCACTTTTTGCTGCAGGAAACCAAGGGATGTTCAACTTTTGGCCGGAACGTGAGTGGGAGTGTAAACAGTGTACACGCATCAAACCATAATTGGTTGTCGCACTATTGTGATGATTGCGAGCATGGCGCTCAAACCAGACACCTACCTCTGCAAAGTTTTGGGAAGATGGGAGGCAAAACTCATCCGGTTACATCCTAGCAATTCCAATGGGTGCCCAATGGAGACCCATAAGTAGGGTAGGGTATAGTCTATTGGACACCCATTGGATGATCCTGGATGGTACCTGAAAATTCATGGTGTGCCTTGGATGTTTCAGTGCATACCCAAACACGACGTCCGTCTGGGACTGCCAGTCCGGACTACCGAGAGTTCCGGCCAGGGGTGGTGGTCTTGGGGGTCTTTCTGGGGCATCATCTATGGCAGTCCCAGACTCGTCGTGTCTGGGTTAGGGAGAGAGAACGTGAACAGCGACGCAACATCCCCCCCCGCTGACCGACCCGATGGCCAGATACCTGGGATTGGAAGTCCTGATTCCTTTCGAAGCCCCAGCAGAGGTGGGTCAGAAGCCGAACTAGACTATCCTATAGGTACTCGTTTTTTAGGGTCCTATATATAAGGTCACTGGCTACCTCGGCCTGCCTGGGTTGGTTGATTGACCCAAGGTCAATGTACCAGCCGTTCCAGGGACTTGAGTGGGCTCCCCAAAGACGAACCATCGAGAATCGAGACCCTACTTAAGATAGAAGTTCGTTAGAAGTTGACGACGTTCAGAATGTATTGGACAGCGTTTCTATGTGTTTCTATCTCTATATCTATATTCCCTAAGGATCCAGTCGTACCTTCTCAGCAGGTGATTGGAGACACCGCTATGTAGGTGCCAGGAGGGTCCAGTCGTACCTTCTGAGAAGGTACTTGGATCCCTAGGGTTAGGGGACGACTGCAATTCTTGGAAAACACGAGGAGGTGTCGCAACATGTCTCTATCTTGGGTATATCCCAGACACCCTGGGCCTTCCAGTGGATGATGATGGGGCCTGCTTGCAGGGCTTGTTCAATTATAGCGATATATAGCGATATGTTCTTGTTTACCTTTCCCGTTACAGGTCCGTACTACACCATCCAATCCCAGCTTCTTTCTGATTCTCCGATCTGTTTTCCCGTATTCCCGATGTGTCCCACTGATCGGCATCCTTCGGACACGGAATCCTTCACTCTTCCGCTCTTCCGGCCACGCTCCACCGGCCACGCACCGGTCGACCGGTAAGGATCAGCCGCGAGTGTTTTCTCGACTCCATGGTGATATTTTGGTACCTGGACCCGACGATATACAGGTCTCCGACATGGAGGCGACCTTGTAGACTTTTTCAAGTCGCAGGTGGTGACCTGTTGGAGGGTCCCGGGTCCTGGTATGTTGATCTCTCATAAGGAGTTCTTTCAGTGTCTCCAGCCTTGAGATAATTTCTTATTCTTTTCGAAAAGCGATGCCCTGGGTGCTCGGTTCGTAGCTTCTTGCTCTTAGTAGTATGGCCAGGAGTTACGCTCGTAGCGTCTATCTTGCTCCGTTCGAGTTACGCTCGTAGCGTCTATCTTGCTCCGTTCGAGTCGCGATGCCTTGAGGTTACACTTCTTGGACGTCCAACAAAACTACCGCGGCGGTCCGCGCATCCTCGCGGCCCCTGGGAGCTCGAACCTCCGGAGCGCTACACTTGGAGGAGCTCACCGACTGGCAGACCGCTCCGAGACGGGCCGCCATGGGGTCGTCTGGTCGGTTTGGGTGGTTCTTTTTGGTATATGGTACTCATAGCTCCTAGATGCTCCTAGATGCTCCGATATTAAGTACCCATCTCATAGTACATCATAACACAAATTATAGAATCTAACAGTCAATCTTCACTCATATTCAATCATATTCAATCTGATAAACGTGTATGTATAGTGTATGTTAAAGCGTTTGGGCAACCGATGGGCATGAGAACCTTCCTGCTCTTTGGCCAAGACGTTGGGTTTGCGCCAGCTCACACCTGGTTGGGCTGCTTAAGCAGGGCAGTGTGGTACCTGCACCCCTGCGACGCAGACCTCCCCCGGTGCACAGGAAACATCTGGAAACTCCGACGTCGGATGCATGGACCCGAAGAAAAGCCCAGGACTCCAGCTACGAAGTCCAAGACTATGAGCTGTTTTCGTCGTGTCAAGTACTTGTTTTCTTCGTTGTATAGTTGGAAAAAAACACATTTGAAGTTGTAAACTCAAATTGACAGTTGACAGTTGTCTTCGTAGTTGTACATAATATATTAAACATCTTAAAATCATGGTGGGCCACCAGCCAGGACGCCTTGGGGCATTGAAACCCGTTCAAACCTACCCATCCACCGACCCTGCAGACCTGCAGACGGTAGTGCAAGGCCACCAGGGCTGAAAGCTCTTCACCTGCGACGGACTGACGAGAGCTGCGAGCGAGCGAAGGCTCGGCGGACGAGAGCGGTGCGAATTCGGGGACACCGTGGGACCACGCAGCCGATGTGCCAGGCAAAGCACGACAAAAAAAAATCCCAGACGCGACGAGTCTGGGACTGCCAGAGATTGCCATTTCTTTTGCCTACAATGACCCCCCAAACTGATCGGCAATCCGGCAGTCCCATTAGGAGTGTCTGGAAAGAGGAACCTCAGGGATTCGTTCGGTCGGTCTATGGTTTGAGTATGGTTTGAGTCGTTGCCTGGAACCACTGGGACTTCTAGCGACATCGTGGGAACTGCCTGCCTGGATGCCCTGGGGCACATGAATCCCGGCATCTGGGCGGCGCGCCATTTCGCAGTGCCACAGGTCCGGTGGTGGAGAGAGAGGTCTCCACTCCCTAGACTTTCGGTTGACTAATTAAAAACATGGGAACGACCTGGCTTTTGTAGTGTAAAATCCTTAGTTGATTCGGGATTCAGCCTATTAATGGTGGGTGAATCGAGGCCAGCGGACTGATCAGGTCACTTCGAGGCCGCCATTCCGCCGACCGAACCTCCACCGACGTGACATGGACGACGGGAGGACGGGACATGGGGACATGACCCCGAAGTGACCTCACCCAAGTGTCCCATGGCCAAGTCACATTGACTTGGACCTCCGAAAAAGTAGATGGCTTTGGTATGACTTCATCTCTATTTCATGATTTTCATGACCCGGACACGACCCATGGTAACTGCCATGATCTGATGCCCCAAACCCACCACCCCGGACGGCCAGTCCGGACTGGCCGTCCGGTCGTCCGGGTCAGACGACCACCGAAGCGCCGCACCTAAGCGCTCCATGCCGGTGGAGACGATCAACTGCGAGAGCCTAGTCCGAGCCAGGTTCGAACCTGGTCCTGGTCAAGCCTCATGACATCTCATGACTCATCGAATCCACGTGTCTTTTCCGTTTGGGTCACGAACGAATCCGAGTCCGGGTTCTCCAAGGGGTCGGACGTGACACTGTCGCCCGGTGCCCAAAGCCTATCTGTTGGTGGAGGGCCCGGATTCTTAGGGCATGAGAAAAACCCATCAAAACCCAATTCAACTCCGGGCCGGAACACACCAACAGATAGGCCTTTGCGACCGCCCGGACCCTGGACCGTTTCGGTGCTCTTCGTGTGATCAATTGATGCTTAGGGTTGGTCGAAGTGACCTGCAGGGTCTCTCCTTTGATGTAGCTCCGACCTGTCGGTCGTTCGTCGACCTGTCGGTGGTTCATCGGTTCGTCGGTGGTTCGTCAGTGGGTGCAATGAGACAGAACGCGAGGTCGCCGATCGACTGAAAACCGAGGACCGTATAGGGTTGATCCGGGTAGTCAAAGATGTAAGAGGTAGGCACCTATAGTAGGTTCTTGCTACTAGTAGCAAGAAGCTAGTAGGTGGAGGCCATCACTACTAGGGTGGAGGCCATTACTACTAGTAACAAGAAGCCACTAGTAGCTTCTTGTTACTAGTAGCGCTGGCCTCCAACCTACTTGCGATGGCCTCCAACCTAATAGCGTACTTGTTACTATAATGGTAGCTTGAAGAGAGGCCCTAGGCCCTAGTAGGGCATTCTACAGGAGCCTTCTGGAACAGCCTTATAGATCATATACACTCTCCAGCAAGGGTTAATTGATTTTTGCGCACATTCGCATGGAGTGATTGTCTGGAACTCAACGAGAAGAACATATATGTTTCCAGACTCCTTCAAACACAATGACACCAGGACTAGAAGGCTGCCTCAGCAGCTAGTAATTACCAAGTGCTAGCATACCGCGCCACCAACTTCAAGTCATTGGTGTGAATGCAACAGCACGATTGATTAAGCACTGTGAAAAATGACGCATTGTTGCTGTTCTCTTGTATTCAATTATCCATTTCAACAAGCAGTGCTTGGTGAAGCACGACTTGCGCTCAAGCTAACTGAAAACAAACAATTCCCAAACGCGCCACGCTCCCAACACAGAAAAAAAAACCGGGTCCGTGCTTTTGCCGCCCTCATCTCTGCCCAGCGGCGCGGGCACGAGTGCCGTCAGCTGCTTTCGCAATGCTTGGATCTCAGCACCTCTGATCTTGAACAGCGACGGATGATCATCTGAGAGGAAGGCCTTTACGGAACTAGGATAGGCACAGAGCCTTTACGTCGTTCCTGTTACTCACATGGGCTCAGGAACTAGGATAGGCATAGGCCCAACGTGGCCCAACGGAACCTTTAGCTCTGAGGCCTCGAACCCTCGGATGATTGGCCGAAGTCGGGTCTAGTTGAAACCTGCCCGGTTGACGTGCTTCCCAAAAAAGACCCACCCTCCCATGCCCCGGCCCAACAGCCACCCTCCCCTCCACCGCCGTGAGACACCGCAGGGTAGACGCCACTCGGACTGAGCTTACCGGACGGACTTGGTCCGGCTGCAACTCCAGGGCTCCTGAAACCTCGACCGGCACCGCCGGACAGTCGCGCGGCAGCGTGGCCGCCAGCTGGGCGGCCAGCTCCGCCTCGTCGCGCGGCGCGGGGTACGGCGGAGCTCCCGTGGAAGTTCTGGCAGAGACGCGAGTGCGAGGTGGAGGGAACAGCCGAGGAACCGCCGAGGGAACAGCCCTGTGACAAGATGAGGCTGGGGGTCAGTGGTTCTGGTCGTATGTCGTATGCTGATTCGGGTGCGACTCGGGTGCGGGATTCAGGCGAATTGATCTCGGTCAGCCGGTCGCTTCAGCCGGGGAGATGGGAATCAAGCTCGGTTCCAGGATGAAGTTGATGTCTGTTTATTTAGTAAATCACCCAGACGCTCCGTTCACAGCCCGACTGGTCCCTCAAAACCGGATTTGAGACCCCAGACCCCTCCATAGGATTCGGGTCCGACCCCTGCATAGGTTCGGGTCCAGGGTCGCATCTGGGCAAGCAAGAAACCGTGCTGGTTCTCCAGCCCCGGGCTTCACCAGGGAAAGTGGATACACACGTTCACTAGCGCCTTTATAGCATCCGCAGGGCTTCGATGAGATTTCGTACAGTAAGCGTGTTCGAAGATGGCCACGACCTTTTCGTTCAAAAGCGGGGTTCAATCTCCGTCTCACGGGAAACCACACGGGTTTGGCGTCTCACGACAGGCATTCTTCGTCACAGGACATAGGATAGTACGAGGTATAGACGGACTAACCTTCCCAAAGTGGTGTGACATGTGTGACGGTGTTTTCTGCCTGCCCAGACGCTCCGTGAACGACGCCCGACTGGTCCTTCAAAACCGGGATTGGTTCGGGTCCAGACCCCTCCATAGGATTCGGGTCCGACCCCTGCATAGGTTCGGGTCCAGGGTCGCGTCTGCCTGCCTTAAAAAAGCACACGATATCCCAAATACCCCCAGTCTCCACCGGCTGAAACCATGGCAGTCGCCACCTGTTGGAGGACTGAAACCCCCCCTTCAGTTTGGTGTTCGGATTTTCATGGTCTTCCTGGATGTTCATGGCCATGCCAGCATGTGACAGCATGTGATGAGCATGTGATCTGCAAGGAGTGTAGGTGCTTCAGCATACTTCAACCTTCAATTCATCCATGTTGGACCCTCGTGGATCCACTTGGGACTCGGAACAGCCTGGAGCTCTCAGCCACTAGCGCCGGCGCCATATTGGAACAACCATTGATGGGTTTCCAGGAACAACCACAGGTGGATTGGATTGGATTCCATCATTATACAATAAATTGTTATTGTCGTTCCACTTCGTATAGGTGGTTCCATATGGTTGGGATTGGTTTTCCAGGAACCTCATCTCCACGAAGAGGCCCTTGCGTTCCACGAACGACGCCCGCCAAAACGCGCGTCGTTAGAAGGGGACCCGACCAAGCCGGTGGGGTCGGTGGGCAACTGTGGCCACCTGGGACGGGCGCTGAAGGCGGGGTGGAGACTTCCAGCAACCTGCTTCGTGACCCTCAAAACGAGTCCGACAGACCCGCCATGACCGGAGTTGACGGTCGGTGTCGTACCAGTGGCAGTCACGTCGTAGCGAATGCAGTGGGGGGGTTCGGGTCATGGCAGTCACGTCCCATGTTCAAACGAAGACTTGTCCAGCTCCAATGTGCATGTCGATCTTGGCTGATTTGATCGAGAACAAAAGGCACAGACTTGATGGAACCCTACCAGCACCCTCCAACAGGTCACCACCTGACATTTTTAAGTCTCCAAAAGCCTCCAGAGGAGACCTGTTGGAGGGTGCTGGTAGGGATCCAAGTACCTTCTCAGCAGGTGATTGGAGACACCGTCCAGTCGTACCTTCTGAGGTTCGGTACGACTGGATCCCTAGGGGAAGGGTGTGGAAGATCCGGGTGTGGACATGCAATTCAGAGCAGCTGAATCCGTCGGACACTTTTGTTTCAATCTCGTGGCTCGGTTGATTGAAAGTCGTGTCGCTCCTAGTTCCAGTCCAGCAATCCACCGGGTCAGTGTCCTGTCTGTGACCTGTGCTCGGGTCTCCATCCAAGGGCCGAGGGCCAATGGGTCTTGGAACACAAAACTCCTCGAACCACATCCGCTGGGAGTCGTGGGTCTGGGAAACATCGCTTAAGGTCGTTCCGCTTGGTCGTTTGCTCCTCCTCGCTCAATGTCGTGGGTTCTGCAGAATCGGTGTTTTTCCAATGTCTTTAATCTTTCCAATTTGGTTCTTCTCATATATGCTCCAGAGTGTTTTCTCTCAGGGCATGCTCTGGAGAGTCTGCCCAAAAAAAACATGGTGAGTCATGAAGTCTGCTCCATATCCACACTGACTACGCGAGTCTCATTATCCACACAATCAAGTTCGCACATATCATCACATCGCTCAGAGTGGACCCGAACTCCTAAAGACACTGACAAAAGGATCAAGTGCCAGGCACGTGACGTGATGATTAACGTGTCGTTGATGTGCCCCCCCTGCACTGAACATGTCCTCCATCCTGACCAGCATTTGCTGGCAGACCAGCCAAAAACATCTCACTGCGATGCTGGTCATGCGTCGAACTGATGAAAAGGCAGCTTCTTCACAGCCCCAAAAGCCCTCAAAAGGACCTCCAAATGATAAACGTCAGAAATCTCCGGCACCCCGCTCTTCTTGCACACAAAGAGGCCCCAAATGCCCAGTTGCCAAGACCTCAATCGAGGCCGATGGCAGATGAAGTTTACCCCCTGCGATGGATGGTTGTAAAATATAGAGGGTCCAATAACGTTTATGGCAGCATCTGCTTTCTGGTGAGTGTTTCAGAAAAAAGGACTGTACAATCTACAAGCCCAGTGTAGACATGATTCTGTGCAACTGGGCGAACCAAGAAACTCAGGCGAGTTCAAAAAGCCGCCCAACCAAGCCCAGCAAGGGCTCCTGCTTTTTCAAGACCGGTCGCAGTGCTTCCGTGGTGCTTTCTGGTCCAACCACTTCGTTCTCTCCGCCCGAGATTGCATGTTCATGTGACCGTTTTCCACCTCTTCAAACAAGTGAAACGAAGCATGGCGGCAGAGCTTCTGTCCGACTTTCACCGTTTTCCCCCTTCGGTTTTCCCTGCAGGTGATCCACGTAACCCCGATCAGCTACAGTGTCTGATTCTCACGGCGCGAAAAGAAGGATTCACAAAAAGACACATACACCACCGCCACCACCGCCACCACCGCCGCCACCGCCACCACCGCCACAACAACAACAACTAAGGGTGACCTGCAGGTCACTCTGCAGGTCCAAAAGCGCGGCCAGGTCAGCCAGCTCTCAAAACCCTCTTCCTTCCGAACCCGAGAGGCTTCTTGGAGTCGATCCCGCAAGAGCATGAGTCCAAACATCTCGGACTCCGCATAGACCGCCTTGGCAGGCGGAAGAAGCCACGACCCGACGTCTCCACCGACCGAACGGTCGAGACCGACCGGAGAGACGGTCGTAATGCCAGGAGCTTCTTCCAGGGGCCCGAAAACCAAACCATGAAAAACCAAGGTTTTTGATGGGCCATGTGGGGCCCCTGGTTGCTACTAGTAGTAATGGCCTCCAACCTACTAGCAATGGCCTCCAACCTAACAGCAATCGTTCTGGAGTTCTGGATAAGATGGAAGAGTTTTGGGGAAAGGGCAATCTTGTGTGTGTGAAGACCGGGCGGGTGGTGCAAGCTAGCACACGTGTCGATCAAGAGTACTGAGGACGTCGTGTCACGAAGCCTTTGACCCCCCTAGTGTCGCGCCTCGAAGCAGCACGCCTACAGCGCCTTGAATCCCGAAGCCCGTGCTGCCTCGGAGCGATCGTGCTGCCGCCTCGGCCCCCGCGCATGGTCGCTGTCTTCTTCGAAGCCGTAAATCCACTGCAAGGCCTCGCTGGGTCCGACCCGGGCGGTCGGTCCAAAAGCACCCAACAACACACCCCTCGTGTGTCGACGGTCCGTGACTGGGACTGCCAGTCCGGACTGCCGAGAGTTCCGGCCAGGGGTGGTTGGGTGGTTGGTTTTGGGGGTCAATGGGGCATCATCTATGGCAGTCCCGGACTCATTGTGTGGGACACCTCAACCCGAACAATTCTGGTTTTTTCCATGCCCAGACACTCCACGGGACTGCCATATATATGCTAACAAAATTGACCCCCAAGACCACCACCCCTGGCCGGAACTCGGACTGGCAGTCCGGACTGGCAGTCCCAGACTCGTCGCGTCGTGGGTTTCCCGTTCCGACCCTCGAGGCTACCGTCCGAACAGGGTCCGTTCCATACAGTTCCGTCCACCGAAATGGAAATACTGGACCGCGGGTCCGTGGGTCATACCAAAGACCGCGGATACTATCCGGATGTAAAAGACCAGGGTTTTACTATGTTTTACTGGCTCGGACTGGACTTGTAGGGGATCCTTTTCCAACAGAGATCTATACTTACAAAAGTCCTTTTTTTTTTTGCTTTTGGGACTTTGGTTGCTCACTGTGCCACACTGTGCCAGCATGAGCCGATGACTGTGCCATCTCCCGTATGTTCTTGTCGTCTGTCCTTTTTGGCCGCTCAAAGCAGCTCCCGACGTCCGTGTCTTTTACACTTCCAGGGAGGTGAAACCGCGTTTCCTTCAGCGCTGGTCCTTCCACCATTCGGCGTGTGCTCGATCTGCCCACGGCTCCTGGACAAAGATGGGCCGCGGTGATTCTTTCCTGGGCCGAGCCAGCGATGGAGAGGCGTTTTTTGATCGATGGAGGACTCACCTTCAGTTCGGAAAGCCTCAAACTCACATGGACCCCCTGGAAGAGTGTCTTCCTCTACCAACCAGTGGGTTTTTCAGGTTCCATGATGTTCCATGTTAGTCTTTTGTAGGGGGGTCATGTATACCAGTGGACTGGGCTTCGGGTCATGGCTACGAGTCGTTCAACTCGGTCGACTCACCAAGTGCCCGGGCAACGCAGCCGTCTACCGACGTCGGCGCGAGCTCCCTCGTCGACCGTTGATTTTGCTGGCGATGGTGGAAGCTTGGTGAAAGCACTTCATCTTCAACCACCCTCAACACAAAACCAACGATTTACCCTTGGGAGCGCAGTGAAAAGGGTGTGTATGATCACCCTTGCCATATCTTGCCACTGTTTCGGTCTGCATTTCGCCAAGCTGCACTAAAAATCGCCCCTGCTTCACTGCGCAGAAGGCTTCCCGTGGTGTCCCGAGCCCCGTGGTGTTGGGCTTGGGACGTAGCTCGGGGTAGCCAGGGGAATAGGGCAAGCGGATTTCACTCACCCAATACTCCCCGATGGTGTCCACCACGGGCTTGAGCCTGGAAAAGAAGATCGGCAGACGGCATTGGGTCGACTGAGACGGGTGAGGATCATGGGTTTCTGCGTGACCCAAGTAGTGATGGGAGGACGAACATGTCCGGGGAGATGTTCAAGCAACATCTGAGTTCCTTGAGCGTGTGAATCCAAAAGAAACATGCTAAATAACATCAAATAGCTGTGCCTTAACACACACACACAAAGCTCAGACTATCGCTCCATCACAACATATTAAATGGCAAACACGGGAATGAATGGCATAGGCCACTTGAATATCCAAGACGTGGTTGGTGGCATTCTTCTTTTTCTTCTTGTGCCCTTTCTGCACAGCGACATACAATCTCATTTCGTGGTTTCAAGACTGAACGGTTTATCAAACATGAAGAGTCAGAAACAAAAGGATACGAACAGCAGGAATAGGGTCGAGTGGATGATGTGAACACATTGATGATGGGGCCAACTCACTGCAGCTTGTCACGGTACGTACGGTGGCCGTGTACGAGCGTCCCCCCTGGAGCTAGTGGTCTAGTGGTCGCTTCGCTGTGTCAGGCGCCACCGGCTGCGTGCAAGGCACTTGGTGTCTCTGGTCTTCAAAGTGGTATTGCAGCGTGTATCTCTGGGAGTCAGATGCAAAGGCGCATGTTGATTGGGAGGCCAAGCATCGCGCTCCAACATCAAGCCGTGAAGTTCCGCCTGGAGCGAGGCCGACGGCGGGGGCCGCGGGCGTAAGGTCGTGAGGCGCAGAGGAAGAAGCGAACCCCAGTGGTTCCAGGCAACGACTAACACCAGTTGGGACCGAACCAATCCCTAAGGTTCCTGAAACTTAGGTCATGGTTTGCCTAGGATGCACTGGGTTGCTTAAGGTCGCTTGGTCTTCCACATGTCTTCACCATCTTCGCTGCTCCCAGTCGTCACAGTCGTCACGAACGAAGCTGAGCCACTTGCTGCCCAGTGCCTACCCCTCCGGCCTCGCGCCGCAGCACTCGCTGCTTCTCGGTCTCATAATGGACTCCAAACTCGCGCGATGAGATCTGCCTCGACACAAGTGACTTCCGCGTTTTTTTTCGAGTCGAGAATCCCCATGACAGTTGACCACCGAATGGACCAACACAAAGCATCTTACAAGCACCTGGACCACCCAATGGTACATCATGTTAATGAATGAAATCCATTTTACTCCATGCAAAAGAACACCTGCGACTCCCAGCTCCATCTCTCCCAGCCATCGCCCAGCTTTCGCCCGAGCTTGCGCCCAGCGCCTCTCTTTCGTCTTGTCCCGCTCACGAAAGCGATGCCCGTTCACATTCGCTGGAGCCGTCTTAGGTCGTGAGGGCGGCCGATACATGGGCGCTTTTTTTCCGCCGGGAGAACGGACAGACGGCGGTGTGATGCGGTGTGGGACGGAAGCACTTAGCTCGCTAGTTTTGGACCCGCCCTAGAAGCCCAACTAAGTCCAGTTCGATCTAGATTTTGACCGGCTGAAGTAAAGGAAGTTCCGTTTCAGGTCCCCTAAAGACAATTATCAATTCTTTTCATAGTCTTTGACTCCCAGGGAAGTGCAGCTTCGACCTGGACTTTCCTGGGCTGGTCACTCTATCTTGTATATACGGACATTCTCCAGACGGGTCATCCAGTCAGACCTCGTCTCTTGGACTCCAGGTTTTGAGGTTTCTGTGGTTCAGAAATCCAGGGTGGATGTGTCAGTGGCTGAAGACCACTTTCTGCTTCAAAACGAAGAAGCAACTGCCACAGGTCGTTGTGTTCTGTCACTGCCTTTGCTACAACTCCTTGCCAAGTGAGACTGCATCCATTTCAGCTAACTATGACTATGAGGCACTAGATAGATACCTCTTCGCGGGTTCCTTGCTTGCGTGCCTATGGACTGGAACAGCTGGCGTGGGAGAATCCTCATCTCCGCTCGAACCACCGCGCCGTTGAGCGGAGCCACGCAGTGGTGCCCTCCGTTGAGCCCCACAAGGCGCGACGACGACCGGGCGAGATCGGTGAGAGACTCGAGGCCCTCCAGAATCCCAGACACGACGAGTCTGGGAGCTGCCAGTCCGGACTGCCACCCCACACAGAGCCCCCCAAGACCACCACCACCACCCCCTGGTCCTATAACTCTCGGCAACTCTATGCCAGTCGCATGGTGTGTCTGGGAATGAAGATGCGCGTCGGACCCCTTTTCCCCGCGGATTCGGGGCCGGTTGTGGGTCGCGTCTGGCTGGGCAAGAGGTCGGGCGCCAAGATGCGCCAAGTGTGGGAGCGCATGGATCTGGGAGCGCATGGTGGGAGTGGGTGGGCATCCCCCAAAAAAGGTTGGAGCGAATCATCATCAAATCACCTTCCCATCCAGCAAAAACAGCCCAACTCGCTCTACATGGGCATCCGTGCTCTATAGTTAAGCATAATGCAAACTCTTGATGAATAACCCCCACCATTGTAAAGCCTCTTCAACTGGGGGGTTGAAATATCATCAAAAGTCTAACTGGACCTTCGAGGGGTGTCCCCTGGAGGTCCCTTATAGTAGTGTAGCGGCTTCCATTCGTGACCCCGAACTGAAGGTGCTGGTAGGTACATCAAAAATCAGCGAAGCATCAAATTCGTTTCAGCAAAGTGAATCCCTTTGAGCCAAACGGACTCTGTGGCACCTTTCCACCGGACGTCTGCGGTCGCCTCTGCGATTGGATCCGGTCAGACCGGAGAACGCATCAGACCGGCTTTCCGGTCTTCCGCTTCCCGACTGCTTCGCCGGAGCCTTTGTGGAACATGAGGGTGAACCAGCCTGTTCTTGTTGAGTGGGGGTGGAACACTGGAACACTCTCCCCAAGAGGTGACCTGCAAGTGATCATGTATGGCATCTATGCTCCAGTCGCTGAATCCAAACCCTTGTCCCGCCTGGCAACGTTCTGCCAGATTGGCACGAGCTGTCGAAAGTCGGTGCCTGGCACGCTCTGTTCGAGGAAACAGGCCGGGACTGTTCACCTATCCGAAAAAAGGTAAGGGACTAGGCAAAGCACTTTCTATTTCTCGTGCAACTGATTGGGCGGCAAAAGTGCGGTAAACTTCCAAGACATTCGACCCTATAGTTATCCTTGTGTAACTCTTCACAGGACGACTCATGAAAAGACTCTCTTCACTCACACATAATCGCTGATGCTATTAGGTTGGAGGCCATTGCTCCCACAGTTTCTAGGTTGGCCGCCCCATGTCAGCTCCTGCCTCCTCGCAGTCTTTAAGCCCAGGGGCAGTCGCAGAAGCTGCGCCGAGGTGAAGTCCGGCCTTGCAGCGGCCGCGTCGCCGCCGCGTCACCATGGTTCGTGCAAAAGGATCTGACATGGTCTCTCTGAGAGAACGTGATGATGATACATGATTGATATATATGCTAGATGATAGATGATAGATGGATGATGATGATAGATGATGCATTTCGTCAATGCTCAGCTTTTGTTGGGCTGAGAGAGGGGGATGCTTTGGACGGACATCTCCGAAGAACGCCACCGCGCTGGCACCCGTCTCAGTCACACACATCTGCCATGGCAGTCGTAGGATGCATGGTGCGAGACGCTGCCTGAAACGGCATGGCCGACTGCGGAGGTGAGCTGTCTCGAGGTGAGCTGACAAGTTGAGGAACAGGATGTGAAGCAAGGTAGCATAAGTACGCATTGAATTGCATCAATCATGGCCTAGGAGGTGAGCTTTGCTCCTCACTTAGCATATAAGCTTAGCATTGCTCTACATAGCATAGTACAAAGAAGGATGTATTGCTCTACGTCGCGCCCAAAATCGAATTGAATCTGTCATATTATATCCACATCATCAATCAAGCAATCAATCAATCAATCCCTCCCTCCCTCCATCCATCCATCAAATCAATCATCGTTCGTCTTTTGCGCCATTCTTTCGCTGTTTGTACCTAGATTTGCAACTGTGCCAAATGTCCGTCTTTTGGCTGGTTTTATAGATGGAAAAGCATCAATATGACACCCGTTGGAAGATCCAGGTATGTGTCCCTTGACGCTCGTCGGACAAAGGACGTCGTCCAGTTCCGGACGTTTCGTGCGTCGGAACGTCAGCCTCGAACGACGTCGCAGGGGGGGCAACGTTGGTCATGTGAAGGACTGACGCCCAGGTCCGAGATGGGCAAATGTGCATATCACGTGTCGGATGGTCACACCCGAGCCACGCCGATACGGACCTGCAGCCGGGGACTCCGACCTCTTCTCAAACGCAGCTCCAACGAAGTGGCTCTGTATGGCCAGAACCTCGGCCCAGCGCCAGGTCAGTGTGTTCCATCCAGTCGGTGGAACGCCGGAAGTTGTTTCTTCGAAAGGAAACAGAGAGAAGACCAGCCCAGGCAGTTCAGCACAAGATTCAACTTTGAAATTCAGGAACATAACCTCATTTTACTGGAGATGGTCATGCAAAACCAATACTTAAGGAGGTAGAAGGTCAGGTTTTACTGGGTCTTTGGACTTGTAGGGATTACATTGTTATATCGTTGTTATACACTGTATCTGCCCTGGCCGTCCTCAGTAGTGAAAAAACCCTCTGAGATTCCTCAAGGGTTTTTTGGCCAAACGTCGTTTTTTGGTCCGACGTTTTTTTTGACTTCCGATACCTGGTGCAACCGAGGTTCTTTTGCGTCCGATGTTTTTTTGCACCGGGATGAGTGGCTCTTTAGCTAGTGTAGCTGTGGATGTGCTAAAACATGAATTGACACGGTGTTTCTCGGCCAAGTGGAGTGGTACAAATCGAGTGTGGACAAACCATGGACAAACCGTGGAACAGGAGTTGTTTTGCGTGGACAGGGACCTCCGAAAACTCGCCAAAGGTGGGAAAACGCTGACGCTGCCCCATGTTCGATCGGGTGGATTCGGGATGAGCAGGGGATCCGATGTTTTTTGGGAGCGCTCGGATGTTTTTTTTTGCATGACCAACCAATGATCTAACGGATATATTTGGGAGTTGATCTAAATTCCTTTATCCGGGATCCGTCATTTTCGCCAAAAAAAACTACTTTAGCCAAACTTTCGCCTTCCTGCGTTCTATTTTTCGCCGAAGTACGTTGTATTTATGTGTGCCATGTATGTTGTGTTTTGTTCACGTCAGTGGCTTCTTCTTTACTTGCTAACACAAAATAGAAACTTCACTGTTTGTCAGCATGTGTCTTCTACTTAACTGTTGACACCCTGTACGTCTCTTTTGTTTCTCCTGGGTGTCAGCAAGAATCAAAATTGCAAGAATCACTGTGGTCACTCAAACTTACTCATAATGGTCTGGGGGTCAGATGTGGCAGGGTGAACTTTCGCCAATCTTGAGCTGAACTTTCGCCAAATCTTCGCCTTTTGCGGGGTAGAGCTTTGTGGCAAAGCCACCCCCCCCAAAGGAGGAGCAGGAATAGTAGTAGTAGTAGTAGTAGTAGTAGTAGGTGTAAGTGGTAGTAGTAGTAGTAGTAGTAGGTAGTAGGTAGTAGGTAGTAGTAGGTAGTAGTAGGTAGTAGTAGTAGTAGTAGTAGTAGCAGTAGCAGTAGCAGTAGCAGTAGCAGTAGCAGTAGTGGTAGTAGTAGTAGTAGCAGCAGAAGTAGTTAGTAGTAGTTAGTTTTTATTATTATTAGTAGTAGTCGTAGTCGTAGTCGTAGTCGTAGTGGTAGTGGTGGTAGTAGTAGTAGTAGTAGTAGGAGTAGTAGTAGTAGTAGTAGGTAGTAGGTAGTAGGTAGTAGGTAGTAGGTAGTAGGTAGTAGGTAGTAGGTAGTAGGTAGTAGTTAGTAGTTAGTAGTTAGTAGTTAGTAGTAAGTCGTAAGT